TTATAATGACATTATGTTTTGCCTTCTATGTTTTTTTGTAGGGGACAATGTACTCATATTGAGATTGTATTGTAAAATCAACACTGCAATAGGTATGTGGGAGCTTACTCTAACCAAGGGCATGATGGCTTGACAAATCGCTTTGGAGTCCAAGTTTGGATAGTCATGGTTGATCCCATGTGCACAACATGTATGAGGACCGCTGTATTTTATTAGTTCCCATATGCTAATCATCTTCTTATTTGAAACACAAACCATCTAGTTGTATCCATTATCACGTTGGACACAATAACAAACATACTTTTCAGTGGTAGATCGGAAAACTCTGGATTGAACTGAATTACGAATATTGTAATTCTTAATTACCATCAATGTTTCTTCTTTAGATGTAAACGCCATTCCACGATATAAATCACCATCATTAATTGATGAATGCCCCATAGTTTCCAAGATGAGGCATATCAGGAAATTATGACTCGTACATCGCATCATAGTCAACTTCATACATGATGAATGTTCGTATTGTACCATATTTATAGGAACTTCATCCACATCATCATCAAATTCCATATTGAATTGCGATTACTCGGGTTCAAAAAATAATCCAATTTTAGCACAATCTGCTATTGGCTCAAGAAAAGGTTCTTCTAGAAGAGATGAGGGTTCTTTTGTGAGTCTGATATTTAGTTCAAACAAGTTCGCAGATGAATGCCTTCCTCTAGAACTTGAAGGAATGTCACCATATGGGTTATGAATTGAGTGTTATATAGGAGGTGCTGCCATATCGAGGTTAAAGGTGCTGACAGATGAATGTCTCCCCTTGGAATTAGAAGACATCTCCATATTAAGGTTAAAAAAGTGGCAGATGAATATCTTCCTCTGGAAATTGATGGTATGCTAACATGAGGTGGGTTAGATATTAATGACATGAAATCATTACATATTGTTTGAGTTGGACTGTTAACTTAATCAACTGGTTCAGGCAAACCAATGTGGGAGGATAAGGATATACCCCAAACTGGATGCACATTAACAAAAGTGCAATACATTTCTATAATAGAGTTTAAATTTTGACTGGAGACATCAACCATCATAGTAACATCATCGTTGTTTGAGAGATTGAACGATGTATATGTTAATGGAAAAATTTTAGTCAAAAATCTATACTGAAGTGTAGGCAGTCTTCTACTATTTCCAACACAAATTTTCCTTGAGATTTTTGTGATTAAATCGTGAAGAGTGATGGTTCTCCTTAAGGATAGAAGGATATAATGATCTGATAAGAAAACAACCCGTATTCATCTTCCCTAATTTCTCAATCATAGTAAATAACAGCTGAAATAAGAGTCATTTTTTAATGTAAGAGTTTCAAAGTTTTAGAGTTTTAGAGTTTGAGATTTCAAAGATACATAGTTCTAGAATTGAAGAGTTCAATATATTGAGGGACGGGGAACAATTCATGTCAATTATGTGAAATGGCAGAGATTCTCTGAATAATAATGGAAAATGTTTCCCCTAGAACGTGCCTTTCATTTCGGATGGGATGAAACACTATGACATGATAGAGATTCTCTGAATAATAATGGAAAACACTTCCCCTGGAACATGCATTTTGTTTCGGATGGGATTAGACACTATGACATGGCAGAGATTCTCTAAATAATAATGTAAAATATTTTCCTTGTAACACACCTTTCATTTCGGATGGGATTGAACACTATGACATGACAAAGATTCTTGAATATAATGGAAAAACTTCCTCTGGAACATGCCTTTTATTTCGGATGATATGTAATACTACGACATTGTAGATATTCTCTTAATAATAATGGAAAATACTTCACCTGAATCCGCCTTTCATTTTGGATGAGAATGAACATTATGACATGGTAGAGATTATCTGAATAATAATGGAAAACACTATGACATGGCAAATATTCCCTGAAAATGTGGAAAATACTTCCATTGAAATACAACTTTCATTTTCTTCAGATTTTATCTTATCCAACGTCAGACACTATATATATGAGAGATGAAGCAACTGGTCTTCAGTATTTTTCATTCCGTGTATCTTTCTGATTATGTTATTTATCATTTTCATAAACTTTTCCATCGTTTTCAATGGCAACTAAATATTCATTATCTTATCTCCCAAATGATATATCAGTTGAGATTTTATGTTACGATGCTTCTAATTCTATTGAGGACTTTCTTCACCTTCATTTAACTTGCTGAGACTTTTTCTTGGCATTAAATTACAAATTCATATTTGTAAATGTTCAACTTTATTGGTATGTCTTGAAACCTATGGATCGTTCTGCTGCTCATATGAAAGTCTTATGTTTCCAGAAATCTAGATGCATTATTCATGGAATGTATAGTTGAGTGTTTTTTTCAAATATTGTGCTAATGTTGAAGTTGGTTGTCATATCTTGAAGCAATCATTTACAATGGGTGTCATCGAAGCAACTTTCGCTTTAGGCATACGATTGCTTCATAAAAGAGATGTTGCAAGAATGATATCAAGTTTTATCCAACCTAAACCTAATGCATATAATTATGAAGCAAAAAGAGCTTTTCCACTATAAAAGCATGACTATCTCAACTATTTCCAAAATTTTCTCATTTTCGTACATCAAAAATATTTCACAAACATATTGCTCATGTGATAACACATTTAGATGTTGTTTTTATTGTTTCTGGAATCATTAAAGCAATAATGTAATAGATTTTGTTCTTAGTAAGACTAGTTAAATTCAATATGAGATTTGTTATAGAAGTGAACTATAAAAACAACAAACCATAAACATTATATTAAACAACAAACTATTAAACATGACACGAAGCATACTAAACCAATGAACCAGAAATACCACACATCTTTCATAGACCTTAAACAGTAAATAAAAACATAAACATACACTTAAAACAAACTTTTCTTAATGATATTACGATGCCCAATTACGTTTGAACTATGCTTCCAGGTGTTCATTATATATCTCTGTGTTCCCGAACTCATTCTTCTTAATTTGTTGGGTAGTGAACTCGAAGCATCATCATTAACATCCTCAAACTCTACAAACAAATACATATAAGATACAGTGGGAGTATATGTCTCAATCATACCACAAAGGTCGACATCATCGCTTAGAATAAACCTTGTAAATGATATTGACAATCTACAATATAGCAAATAGATTCTTCTTTTCCTCCCGAGTTTAACCTTTCTTTCTATTTTAAACTTCAACTCCTCAAGTGAATTTTTTTGTTGAAAGACATGCTTAAATATTTGCAATAAAAAAACATTTTCCTGAATAGTAGCCATCATAGCTAAACAACTAAAGCTTTTGCCTGAATAAATTAAAATTAACTTTCACCTCGCACACACACACATATATATGGGCCTTAGGAAGCTATCCTATAAAACGAGTCTACCCAAATTATTGTGTCTTTTTTGTCCTTGTTCACAAAAATACATTAAACATTATACAAAAACTTACTTTATATAAATACAGAATAACGAAACAAAATAAGAGGCAAAAATTAATTAAGATGAAAAATCACACTTCATATAAATACATAATAAAAAGCAAAATAAGAGGCATAATAAACACAAATAAATAAAAAGATCGTCATGGTTGTTAGATTCATCGATGCCTTGTTGAATGTGTTCCACAGGGTGTAGACGTCTTCTTCTAGGAGGGTTTTTTCTTATATGCTTCTAATCGTCATCCTCCTCCTCCGAACAATTTTTGCGTAACTCTTTAAATTCACATTTTAGCCACCCTATTGTTATTCGGCCACCGTTGAAATTGGGTGGGCAACTTCCAAGATATTCCCTACATAAACCCCCCCAATCATCATCTGTAACACCACAAATGGCAGTTCCATCATCCGGGAGCCCCAGTTGCATTGAAACATCCTCTAGCATAATGGGCATTCCCCACGTGGTAGATGGAAGTGTGTGCCTCTGGCCTCCATCTCTTAATTAGTGCAGAAATCAGGGCGGATTCAAGTTTACAACTTCCTTCAATTTTTGCTAAGTAACCGAATCCAACCGTAGACAAATATGGCCAGATACGCCTCGATGTTTCCATCTTCTTGTTGTGAATAAAAACTTCTAATATACGATCATTTTCCTAACAGATAAATTCTAACCATTAAAATATGAACTACTATTTCAAAATTATTTAAATAAATTTAAATAATATATAATCAAGTTCATAATATTCATAAATTTAAAAATAATATAGTTTTGCATTCTTACCGTATCAACAAAATAACTCGAAATATGATCAATATTCAATCGCAACAACGCGCCTTCCATTTTTATATGCAATTAATAAATACTAACTAACTAAATAAATTTACAATTAAATAATCAAATAAAGATACTAAAATAAAATAATAATAATAAAATAATTAATTACTTAAATAATAAAAATTTTAATGAATAAAAAAATAAATTATAAAAATAATTATAATTACTAAATTGAAAATAGATGAAAATGAGAGATATTTAGGTGTGATTTATTTGAGTTAGAAAAAGAAGTTTATATAAGCAGCCGATTGGGGGAAAAGGCAGGAGAATTTGGCGGGAGTTCGGGGTGGGAAGGAGAAGGCATGCCCCCGGGATGAGCCTTCCAGGGATCTCATCGTGTTAGGCGGTTTTCAGCTAAGGCGCTTCCACCAGCCGCGCCTTACCCTCCGATCCTCCTAAAATGTTTTTCACGGAATGGACCTCCTTCTCTCATGTGTTAGATTATGTAATATTTGAAAAATAGTGACAGACTGATAATATTTTATTTATAAGATGATTTTTTGATAAAAAATCCGCAAGGTTTTGGTATAGTTATTGATTTTATCTTAAGAAAGTGTTTGGCATCAATGAATCCTTTTTTCATCTAAAGACTTGACTGGTCAGGTGAATCCAGGGCCGGTTTTAATCAAACTCCTTATCATTAAAATTTGCGACCATTGATGTCTTGTTAATACTAGAAAATTCCCTTTTTGAATTCTATCAATAGATACGTGGGTCTGTCGCCGTGACCTCACTCGCCGCCATGGCTTGTGGGCTAAAAAGCAAATATTACTAGAGGGAGTCCTTTCTTGCTATCGTGTGCTATCCAAAGATCCTTTGTGAGTTATAACCCAACACCAAAAATAACTTCTACTTTCTGCCTTTTTGTTTCGCTTTTTTACTCACAGCTTCTCTCTTTCTCGGTTCTTCTCAGGAAACAGGAGTAGCGCGTCAGTCTTTTGGAGTTTGCATGAAGCCGAGAATGGAGAAGGGGATGCTTTGAAGTGGAGTAAGGAAAAGGGAAGTGAATTATGAGTGCTTTACGGCAACGTCCAGTACCCGCGCGCGGTCGTGGTGGAGACCCACGCGCGCAGCCTCCGCGGCCGCCTATGCAGGAAGTGTACAACATAATCCCAGTTCACGACCTTCGAGATGACCATCCGTCGCTTCGATACCTGGAAGTACGCGCCGTCGCGGCGGCCCTGTTACGTCCGATTCTAAACCTCCCGAAACCACCGTTCGTAACGTTGGCGCCAAACATGGACCTGATGGACTGGTTAGGCGTCTCTTTCGGCTTTCAAAACGACAACGTTCGGAACCAAAGGGAAAACCTCGTCCTTCACTTAGCCAACTGCCAAATGCGCCTCCAGCCGCCTCCAGCGAACCCCGACGAAGTCGACCGCGGCGTCCTTCAAAGTTTCCGCAAGAAGTTACTAAATAACTACACTTCATGGTGCTCTTTCCTTCGCATCAAATCCCACGTCCACCTCCCCACGCGCCGGGGAAACAACTATGACCCAACCCGGGAGCTCCTCTACGTGTCTCTGTATCTCCTAATCTGGGGAGAAGCAGCTAATCTCCGGTTCTGTCCAGAACTCCTTTGTTACATTTACCATCACATGGCAATGGAATTAACCAAATTTTTGGATCAGCACATCGATGAATTTACCGGGAGGCCGTTTGTGCCGTCGATTTCAGGTGATTGTGCTTTCTTGAAATGCATCGTTATGCCATTTTACCAGACGATTAAAACAGAAGAGAGAGCAGTAGGAACGGAACCGCGCCGCATTCGGCTTGGAGAAATTACGATGATATAAACGAGTATTTCTGGGGTAGAAGGTGTTTTAAGACTTTGAAATGGCCGATTGATTATGGGTGTAATTTCTTTGATACTGTACCGAAGTTTGAAAGAGTTGGGAAAACTGGGTTTGTCGAGCAACGATCGTTTTGGAATGTGTTTAGGAGTTTTGATCGGCTATGGATTCTGTTAATTCTATTTTTACAAGCTTCCATTATTGTAGCTTGGTCAAGGAAGAAGTATCCCTGGGAAGCTTTGGGGGAAAGGGATATTCAGGTGGAGCTGTTAACGGTTTTCATTACCTGGGCTGGTCTTCGGTTTTGGCAGTCTGTGCTTGATGCCGGGACTCAGTATAGTTTGGTTTCCAAGCAGACGGTGTGGCTTGGAATACGGATGGTGTTGAAGAGTATGGTTGCTTTGACTTGGATTGTTGTGTTTGCAGTTTTTTATGCCAGATTTGGAGTCAGAAGAATGGTGATAGGGGGTGGTCTTCGGCAGCAAACCAAAGGATTGTTACATTTCTCCAGGCCGTCTTTGTGTATGTTATTCCGGAGTTGTTGTCATTGTTGTTTTTTGTGATTCCTTGGGTTAGGAATTGGATTGAAGGTTTAGACTGGATGATTATCTCTTGGTTGACATGGTGGTTTCATACAAGGATTTTCGTTGGTCGTGGACTGAGGGAAGGTTTAGTTGATAATATCAGATATAGTTTGTTTTGGATTGTGGTATTACTATGGAAGTTCTTATTCAGTTATTTTCTTCAGATAAAGCCCCTGGTTGCTCCAACAAAGGCTCTTTTGAATCTTTCAAATGTAAGGTATAACTGGCATGAGTTTTTTGGCAGCAGTAATAGAACTGCTGTTGTGTTGCTTTGGATGCCTGTTGTTCTCATATATTTCATAGATTTGCAAATTTGGTATTCAGTTTTTTCTTCCTTTGTCGGTGCTACAAATGGGTTGTTTTCCCATTTGGGTGAAATCAGGAATATGGAGCAACTTAGGCTTAGGTTTCAGTTCTTTGCAAGTGCAATTGATTTTAATCTCGTGCCAGAGGATCAGCTGCTGACTCCCAGGGCAACTCTGGTGAAGAAACTTAGGGAAGCAATTCATCGACTGCGGCTTAGATATGGACTTGGTCAGCCGTACAAGAAGCTTGAATCAAGCCAAGTGGAGGCAAGAAGGTTTGCTATGATATGGAATGAAATAATTACTACTTTGAGGGAGGAAGATCACATTAGTGATAGAGAAGTTGAGCTCATGGAACTGCCCCCTAATTGTTGGAATATTAGGGTAATTCGATGGCCATGTTTTCTCCTATGCAATGAGTTGCTTCTTGCTCTCAGTCAGGCAAACGAGCTGGCAGATGCACCTGACAATTGGCTTTGGTTGAAGATACTCAAGAATGAGTACGGGCGGTGTTCTGTTATTGAAGCTTATGACAGCATCAAACATTTGCTTCTTACAATCATTAAATATGGCACAGAAGAGTATTCCATAGTCTCAAAATTGTTTGAAGAGATAGACTTCTGTGTGCAGAATGAGAAGTTAACTGCCACATTCAAGATGACTGTGCTACAGAAAATTCATGCCAAGCTAGTATTACTTCTAGATCTTCTAGTGAAACAGAAAAATGATCCGAGTCGGGCAGTAAATCTATTGCAAGCCCTCTATGAACTTTGCGTTCGAGAATTTCCTAAGACAAAGAAGTCCATTTATAAGTTGATGGAGGAAGGTTTGGCGCCTAAAAATATGGCAGCTGATGAAGGGCTGCTTTTTGAGAATGCTATCAACTTTCCTGGTGCTGAGGATGTTGATTTCTATAAGCAGCTGAGGCGTTTGCATACAATTCTTACTTCTAAGGATTCAATGCATAATGTTCCTGTGAATCTGGAGGCTAGGAGGCGCATCGCTTTCTTTAGTAACTCGATCTTTATGAACTTGCCCCGTGCTCCCAATTTTGAAAAATGATGGCTTTTAGTGTTCTAACTCCATACTATGATGAAGATGTGTTGTATAAGAAGGGGATGCTTCAAGATGAAAACGAAGATGGCATTTCTACATTGTTTTATCTCCAAAAGATCTATGAGGATGAGTGGAGGAATTTTATGGAACGGATGCGCAAAGAGGGGATGGATGATGATGATGATATTTGGAGGGAAAAGCTGAGGGATCTTCGCCTTTGGGCATCATACAGAGGGCAGACATTATCCCGCACAGTTAGGGGAATGATGTACTACTACAGGGCTCTTCAGACGCTTTGCTATCTTGATTCTGCATCTGAGATGGACATACGAATGGGCACACAAGAAATTGCTTCTCATCATTCGTTAAACCGAAACCGTGGAGCTATTGATGGTGTTAAGCGGGCAACTGAAAAAAACCTTAACCGAGCGGTTAGTGGTGTAAGCCTTTTGCTCAAGGGACACGAGTATGGATTTGCTTTGATGAAATTTACCTATGTAGTCACCTGCCAAGTTTATGGACGGCAAAAGGCAAAGGGAGAGAGCCACGCTGAGGAAATTCTATTTCTGATGAAAAACAATGAAGCTCTTCGAGTTGCCTATGTAGACGAGGTTGAGTTAGGGAGAGACGAGGTTGAGTATTACTCGGTTCTTGTCAAATATGACCAAAAGTTGCAGAGGGAGGTAGAGATCTATCGCATTAGATTGCCTGGGCCCTTGAAACTTGGGGAAGGAAAACCAGAAAACCAGAATCATGCCATAATTTTCACTCGAGGTGATGCTGTTCAGACCATTGACATGAATCAAGACAATTATTTTGAGGAAACACTGAAGATGCGAAATTTGTTGGAGGAGTTCAAGACCAATCATGGTATTAGGAAGCCAACCATTCTTGGAGTTCGTGAGAATGTCTTCACAGGTTCAGTTTCGTCCCTCGCGTGGTTTATGTCTGCTCAGGAAACAAGTTTTGTGACCCTTGGGCAGCGTGTTCTGGCCAACCCTTTGAAGGTGAGAATGCACTATGGTCACCCTGATGTGTTTGATCGATTTTGGTTCTTGACTAGGGGTGGAATTAGCAAGGCTTCTAGGGTGATTAATATCAGTGAGGACATATTTGCTGGCTTCAACTGCACTTTGAGAGGTGGCAATGTAACTCACCATGAATACATACAGGTGGGTAAAGGGAGGGATGTGGGATTGAATCAGATATCTATGTTTGAGGCCAAGGTTGCCAGTGGCAACGGTGAACAGGTATTGAGCAGAGATGTCTACCGATTGGGTCATAGGCTGGACTTCTTTCGGATGCTTTCCTTTTACCACTCATCTGTTGGACACTATTTCAATACGATGATGGTGGTACTGACTGTTTACACATTTTTGTGGGGCCGCCTCTATCTCTCGCTCAGTGGCGTTGAGCGTCACGCCATGAATCAAAGTGTCAACAATAAGGCTCTTGGAACAATCTTGAATCAGCAGTTCATAATACAGCTTGGTCTGTTCACTGCCCTTCCAATGGTTGTTGAGAACACTCTTGAACATGGGTTTCTTCCGGCAGTTTGGGACTTCTTGAAAATGCAATTGCAGCTAGCTTCATTTTTTTTCACCTTCTCCATGGGAACACGGACCCATTTCTTTGGCCGGACCATCCTTCATGGGGGTGCCAAATACAGAGCCACTGGACGTGGTTTTGTGGTTGAGCATAAGTCCTTTGCAGAAAATTATCGACTTTATGCCCGAAGCCATTTTGTGAAGGCAATTGAACTTGGTGTTATCTTAGCTGTGTATGCTTCGTATAGCCCCCTCGCTAATGATTCATTTGTTTACATAGCTATGACCATTTCAAGTTGGTTCCTTGTGGTGTCATGGATAATGTCCCCTTTTGTGTTCAACCCATCTGGCTTTGACTGGCTGAAGACGGTCTATGATTTTGATGATTTTATGAATTGGATATGGTGTAGAGGTGGTGCACTTGCAGAAGCCAACAAGAGTTGGGAAATATGGTGGTACGAGGAACAAGACCATTTGAGAACAACAGGTCTTTGGGGAAAGCTACTAGAGATAATTTTGGACCTTCGTTTCTTCTTCTTCCAGTATGGTATCGTGTATCAGTTGGGCATCGCGAATCATAGCACCAGTGTTGGTGTGTACCTGTTATCTTGGATATACATGATTGTGGCTGTTGGGATCTATGTGGTTATAGCATACGCTCAAGACAAATATGCCTCAAAACAGCACATCTACTACGGGTAGTTCAACTTGTAGTCGTTATACTTGTGATACTTGTGATTGTCTTACTGCTGGAGCTCACTTCATTTAAGTTTATTGATCTTGTGACAAGTCTTATGGCATTCATTCCAACGGGATGGGGTATGATATCCATTGCCCAAGTGGTTAGACCGTTTTTGCAATCCACTGTGGTGTGGGAGACTGTAGTTTCCTTGGCACGGCTGTACGATCTGTTGTTTGGAGTGATTGTCATAGCTCCTGTGGCATTGGTGTCGTGGTTGCCCGGATTCCAGGCAATGCAGACAAGAATCTTATTCAATGAGGCGTTTAGCAGAGGTCTTCAGATTTCTCGCCTTATTTCCGGAAAAAAGTCAACTGAATGATGTTGAGGTAACTTTCTTTAATCATATATGGGTTTTAAGCATTTGCATATTTTGTTCAACAATATTCGTTCTGGCTGTCCATGTATAGTTGGCGTTTGTTTTGGATGGCATATTTCATTTTGTATTCATGGCTGTTTCAACACAAATCGGATTTGGTGAAGTTTTTTAGCTACTTGTGCGTGCTATTTTTGACAAACATGTTTGTGCTGTTTTAGTTTATTCTAATATTCGACTGCAAGCTGGTACTTTTAATGATATTACATTATATCACCATGCCAACTGATTTTCTTTTCTAGTCCTATGTTTCGGTTTTCACAAGCCTTGACTGTAAACATATATTCTGATCTGAAAACCAGTTGGCAACATGCGTCATATTATTGAAGTTCAAGTCTTAAAAGCATTGACAGTTTGAACTTGCAAAACCCGAACTTGTTCTTATGCATATCTATATTTCAATGCGGACTTCTACAAGCTACATTAAAGGGTTCCCGAACCAGGCAGCTACGAGCTGCTCATTTTCCACTTTGAAGTAACCATGTAAATCATTGGGCATGGTCTCTGTAAATTGATGGATAAATGTCTTATTTTTTCTGGCTTTTGTGTTCTGGTGTAACGAAAGATACAAGGTTAAGGAATCAGGGTCATTTCTTCAGTTGGAAGGAGTCAAGGGGTCTTTCCTTTGTTGGTCTTTTATGTATAGAGAAACAAAATGGGGGTGTGATTAAGATATATCTTTTTGCTATCTGATTATAATCTCTCCTTTTGTGATTCAGAGTTGTAGTGCAAATTTCAAATGATGAAAACTCTTTGCATTATTTGAGAAAAGAGCAGAGCCTGAAGCTTGAAAGCTGAACTGAATGCAAAGTAAGGAATTTGGACAAACAATGCAATGATAGTCTCACACGTGCCCTGTTTCGATATCAAATGAAGGATAGTAATTATATCATTGCAGCTGAGGACTACAAATGCCATAATCTAATCTCCCTTTCCTTGTTGACCTATATTCATCTGTTATTCAGGGTAAAAGAAATATAGTTTCAAGTCTTTAAAGTTTAGTTTATCTATGTCGGAACCGTCTTTCGGTTGGACTCCAGAATTGAGCTTCAACTTAAGAAAAATGATTTGGAGTTGTCACCGATCATTTAAAAAATATTTAGATTGATCGGATATCATCTTACCTGATCTACATTTTTATCAGAATTATGTCGGGCTCGAGAATCAATTACAGTCAATGAAAGATTAGCACCCTTGAACTGTCATTTCGATACTATTTAATTTATCGATTGTCTTTATTTACGAAAATTAAAATTGAAATTCTTCTAAAAAAGATCAAAAAAGTTAGATAAAAAATAAATAAATGTATGTATATATAATATATCATAATAAAAAAATAAAAAAATTATAATTATAATATATATATATATATATTCAGACAAAAATTAGTATCTATCATAATAATAAAAATATTGTTAAACGAAATCAAAAGTAGAAATATACTGCATTTCCAGTAAGGGATGGGGTCGGATTGCATTCAATTGAAATGCAACCAAATGATTTATTCGCAAGGCTATTTAGAGGAAAGATAACGGTTTAGCCTGTATTCAGCTTTAGATTACAAAATAGACTCACAGTAGTTCAGGCTATAATCTCGATGGTCTCCAATAATTGGCATCATAAACAATTTTCAACAGTTCTGGTTTTACTTTTCATGAGGTAATGGACTCAAGTAATTTCCTGAATGATATTTGCATACCTGATCCCATTTTCTTGTAATGGGGCAAGAGCCAGTGGTGGCATTGGCATCTCCAAATCCTTGCCTGTTGTACTTAGAGATAGTAGCAAGTCAAAGGTTTATGACTTATTCTCGTTCTTCTCTCTCTTTCGGCTATGCTTCGAGGATGAGTCGCATAGCCACGCTTGGCTCGGATTTTACAAGGCACAAAATCTCCAGGAATATGTAGCAGCTGTTCAACCGTGGCCATCTCAAGTGTTGTTTGGGGAAACAGATGGGATCGTTGATCAAGAGATCTCCGGTTCGGATGAAGGGAAGGGGTGTGAGAGCGGTGCTCTGTCGAGAGTAGTTGTCACAACGGCTAGTCAAAGCGTGACGGCGATCAAGCCCTTGCGGAGTCCGTCGAGGCATGGAATTGTAAGGAGCTGCCCCCATGTGGAGGCCCAAAACAGCTTGAACGATGCACGACAGTGGCCACCCATGGCCGTTGAAGGTGATACACGACCTTCCAGCCCAACCTAGTCCTCGAAGATGAAACCCCCGACCAAGCAAGCGGCAAAAACGACCTTGGACTCACGGTTTACTTACCAAACGACCAGGAACGACAGCACCACGACAGCCCGAGAGTGGAGGTTACATCGCGAGGTCTTTGTGCGAAAACCGATAACCTTGCTCCGTCGATCGATGGCGAGAAGAGTACTTCAATGTGAAGGTTTTGCTTTTTGCTTTCACTGGGAAAGGAGATTGTTGAAAACTTGGTAGTTTCCATTCCTCCTCCATGATTCATGGTCCCCTTCAATGTGGGAAAATCTATCTCTTTATGTTGAACCCCCTCAAGAGCTTAAAGCATTGCCCCAGATTCCCACGTTTATTTTTAGAGAAAAAGGAGCAAACATGTGAGATCTGTGAGGTGGTGGGTGCATGTAGTTGAGATAATAGTGAGTAGTGGGGCCTGTAAAAAATAAAATTAAAAAATATTAATAATAAATAAATAAATAATATAATATAATATTTTTTAGACCCGGTTAAAAACGTCTACAATCTCCTATAAATAGTTTGAATGCGTTAATAAAGTTACTCAAGTTTTTCGCATTTCGCATGCAAATTCAAGGTTTCTCCATTACAGTTAAAAGTAAAGAGGTAATTGTATAGATTTTGATATCATGGTTTCAGTTAAATTCAAGGATTAAAACCTGTTTTAGTAGTGAACTTGCAATTATTGATCTTCCATTAAAACAGTAAGCATTGCAGCAATGACAAGCTCCACAGGGAGATGCCTGAACCATTCAAGTGAACAAGTTCAACTTTTAGTTAATTTTGCAACCAAATTGTTACAATAACACAACATGAGAGAAACGTACATTCAAGCAACCAAGCAACATAGAAAATATATGATCAATCAGTGGCAGCACTAACTCCCAATGTGCATTTCCGTTTCCTTTCAAGCTATTTATGATTCTTTGGTTACTCGATTGAATGATAACATTCTGACGTTGCTGTGATTTAGCCAACTAGAACCTAGCTGCAAAGCAAGAGATTGTGTCACTAGAGACGAATGAGGGAAGACTAGTGCGTTTGCTCCCTTACCCACCTGAATTGCCTGCAATTACAGCCAGACCTATAGTTTTGTGGGTCTGAATCGAAGGCAACTTCGACATTGATTTTGATGAAATTCAGAGGGGATGCCATGTCTGGTGACAGGTAATCATGGAAGATTTCCCTAGCCTCATCCTAATTGTTGAAACATGATCAAGTGATACTCCTTGAAAGAGCCAGAGGTTACGACTCTTCCAAATTGTCCAGCATCTGCATAAAGAAAATTTTAACGACACTAATGAATTTAGTATGGTTTTGGTTGGTGTTCGAGGATGCGTACTTAGCATCGTTATCCTTGATGACAGAGATAGAAAGGTATGGCGAACCACAAACTTATTCTTCTTGAAATGTGTAAATGTTGGTAGGCATAATTGGTTTGTTTTTTTTCAGTTCCTTGGGCTCTGTTTGCATTTTCGTTGCTGGTCTTAGTAATTATCCACCCCCACCCCCCAAAAAAAAGAAACAAAACAAAATTCATCACATTATTGCAACAATTAGAGATTTCAACTAAATGATTGCACATTTTAGTGCTGTATGTTAGTATCACATGCGGTGACACAAACCGGAAAAAAGAAAGAGTTGAAGTAGGACCCCATCCCTTGTCCTACTAAATTCAACATCCATCAAAAGCACTGATGCTGCAATGGCAACTCATCAGCTCGCTTAGCACTGATGTTTCTGCCCCTGGCCTGCAGCTCTGGGGGGGGGGGGGGGGGTTTGTTCAGCTTCTAATGTGCACCGATGCTTCACCCAACTAAGCACTAACATTCCTCTATCCCCAATAAGAAAACTAACACAACAGAACATTGGTTTTTAAGCTTAAAATCAATCTAACACAACAGTTACCCATCAAATTCGAGAAATCTAGTAAAGAAGGGATAAGAAATTTTCTTTACAAACAAAAGGCTGCTTGCTACCTTCTTACTTTCTATTTTCAATCAGTTCAAAGACCCAACTTCACAAAATATGTACTTCCAAATTACAAGATATCAAAATATTTAAAAAGAAAACAGAAGCATCAACAACAAACAATGTAATTTTTTTTTTTGCAGAAAAAAATTGAGATGCAAATCTAATCATACTTTTCTCTCCAAGAGTAAACCAAAAAGAAGACCCAAGAGAGAGCCAATAAAATGTCGCCAACTGTTTGCCTAAGCCAATCCCAAGCCAAATCCTCCACCCTTCTCTCGAACCAGAACCTCCATATCGCTACCATAACATGCAAGGCCGTGCAGCCTTTGGCAAAGAAGGATTGAAAGCTTCTTCTTTGACAAAAGAGACCATTAACAGCAAGAACCCGATGGCGAATAGGAGCAAACCCGAGAAAGAATCGGATGTCCGGATCAAGAGCTGATCGTGTGGGGTAGAGCCCAGGAGCTTCGTGGCGGTCTCGATCCCGTGGGTGAAGGTGTATATTTCCTTCATCTTGAACATCATGAGCGCGCCGCTCGACAAGGCGATCGCTGAGTGGAGAAGACAGATCAGCGTGAAAGCTGACGACGACGACGATGATGTTGTTGTCGACATTTTAGTGGGGTCTTCTTTTTTCTTTCTAAATTCGATTATGAAGTGTTTGGCAAAACAGGAATGGTTGTAGTAAATTAAAACCCTAACCCTAAGCTCATTTCAGGAGTTTTGAAGATTCAGGGGAGCTGGGTTTTTTTTCCCAAGATAGGGATCCGGTGGGACTCACTCCGACACATAAGAATAATATGTTGTAGACACGTGGCATATTCTAAGTAGTGCCGACAGGTAAGAAAGAAAGAGTTTGTACATTTTGTGTTTCTTTTAATTTATTCGGCTGAAAATACTCTTCTCCATCAATTCAAGAGAGTAATTCCCAATTTCGTTTTTTAATTTTATTTTTCAATTGAATTTCTCCATTGTAGATTTAAACATGTTTGGTAATCTTTTTTCAAAATTATCTTCTATTCAATGGGTTTTTGGTGGTATTGGTATCACCATTTGGGATCATAGTTTTATATACATGAAAGAAATGAATGATAATGAGAGATGTTAGAAAGAAGAATTTGGATGAACTGTAAGTAGTTTTTATGGAACATAACTACAACCTCTCTTCCAATGAGTTGGCGATGAACGTATCCGGGAGTGGAGGAGAAAAAGATTTGGCGATAAAACTTCTACCTTGAAACGGTTTTGTTGCCAACTTTGCCGTGACCTAGTGGTGGGGGTGGCAGAAAAATGGCAGGCGGAGCCATCTGAGCCCGACGCTCTAAAATTTCCTTATGGTATTGCTGCAACCAACAGAGAGAGAGAGAGAGGAATGAATGCTTATTAGCCGAAATAGGGAGTCAATTTGCTAATTTTACATCACAAAATTAATTGAGCATAAATACCTGAAAGACAAAGTTGCGCCTTTCACAATCCCAGAACATGTTCACTGTCCAATTTGTCTTTGCCGCAACCTTATCCCTTACTGTCGAAAACCTAATCTGGTCCCTGGAAGTAAAACGGTCCACTTCATTGAACCAAAGACAAGTGAAGAGGTTGCTAATAGGAACATGCTCCCTTATTATTACACATCCTTCAGGAACATCTGCAGAACCAGCAAACCAACATCAAGTATTTTGGTAAAGTAAATAAATAACACAAGATCAAATATCTTCAACTCTACCGCTAGTAATGGGAAGTTTAGCCTCGGAATATGGGGTCAAACCCTCCATTTTATAAAATTC